GAGAGCACCTCCCACACAGCTGGCACTTTGCTAAACCCTTAACTTACTTTATCTCTTTGAAGACAGGAGAGGACAGTGGTCAAGAGCTCAAATACAATCGGACAGAACCGGCTGTTCCTCCAGTGCAGGAGGAGTTGTGTGGCCTTGGGCAAGTTTCTCAACCTCTCTGAGCCAGTTTCCTCATCCCTTGAGTCTGATCCCAAAAACCCCACAGTATTAATCACACTGTCCCCTGGGGCCATCTTCACCGCCAGGACCTGGCAGAGAGAAGCCAAGAGGATTAAGGCAGGACAGTCACAGACAGAAGCCCCCTGGCCACGGATGGGCCCTGGAGGGCAGGATCCTGAACTGGCTTGAAGTCTCCCACCCCCTTGAACAAAGGAGAGGAGGCCCCTGAGTTAGAAGCACAGCTGGGATGGATTATAGGTCTCGGGACTCCTGCTGCAGTGCTCCCTCCACAATAGGTCCTCAGGGAATCTGTGCTTTTCAGATACAGGCCCCAGGAGACCAGCCTTTCCCTCTTGGCTTTACCACCAGAATATCCAGAATAAGTAAATCCATAGAGACAGAAGGTAGATTGGTGGTTGCCTGAGCTGGAGAAAGGTGGGAATGGGGAGCAACTGCTTAATGGGAAGGGGGTTTCCTTTTGGGGTGATAATGTTGGAACTAGATAGAGGTGGCAGTTTCACACATTGTTAATGTGCTAAATGCCACTGAATTTTTCACTTTAAAATGGTTAATTTTCTGTTACATGAATTTCACCCCAATTTAAAATAAGGGTACCTGTAGTTAAGAGATTAAAGGGAGAAGAGTGGGTAAGTGCCAAGGGGGGTGGGAGGAGGAGGAGATGCTGAGGGAGGAGGGAGGAGGAGGGGATGAGGAAGGTGAAGGAGGGGCTGAGGGAGGAGGAGGAGGAGGGGATGCGGGAGGAGGAAGGGATAGGGAGGAGGGGATGGGGAGGTGAAGGAGGGGCTGAAGGAGGAGGAGAAAAAGGAGGGGGGATGGGGGAGGTGAAGGAGGGGCTGAGGGAGGAGGAGGAGGGTGCAGAAACAGGGAAGTTTGAGGTGAGGGGGAAAGGTTTGAGAAAGGGGTCTCCTGGGCTGCAGGGAGGGTGGCCTGGAGGCCTCAGCTGGTTGAGGAAGCAGAGTCTGATCCTGGGGACTGGGAGCCACTGCGCTTTGGAGGAAGGAGGGAGAAGCAGGAGAGGGAGTGGCAGGCGCTTGCAGCCTCTGAGCTGTTTGCTTCCTCTCAGACTTTAGACTGGAAGCTGCTGGGGGTGGGGACAGGGACCTCATGTTTTTAGCTGTTTTTAATTTTCAGAGCAGAACGTCATCACACGTAGATGGTGCTTTAAAAACCTTGACACCAATGGACTGAAATTGAACATGTTAAGTGGCAGGAAGATCACCCACCGCCCACACCAGGGAAGTGAGGAGAGCACTGGGCTGAGTGTGTGTGTGCCACCTCCAGGGGATGCCCAAGACTTCTCAGGGCTGGGAGGGCCTGCCCATCACCCCTTGCAGGGGAGTTGCGAGCCCCCAGAGGGCACTACCCAGAGGGGTCTGGGATGGGGGAAGGGACTGCACCATGGGCTCCTTTGTCAGACCCAGGAAGGAGAGTGGGGGCAGCTACAGGAAGTAGGGGGGCGAGGAGTTCCCTCCGGAATCTATCCCTCCACTTCCCTCCCCTCCTATGTGCACATGCTCAGTGTGCCCTCAAATTGGGTTGGCTGGGGGAGGGCACCGACTGGCACCCCCACTTAAAGGGCCAGTGCCATCCTTGCCTGCACCCAACAGGGGCAATGGGACCTGGCCACCCTCTCCCCTCATACTGAATTACTTCACTTCACACCCTCTTCCCCACTTCCCGGCAGACTCCTCCAGACCCCTCTGCTCCTCTGCCCACCCACCACCTCTCATTCCCTGACCCCATTGCAGGCAGGGTCTGTCCACTGGACAGAGGAGTTTCCACCTGGGGTGGGGGAGTCCTTGATGGGGAAGGAAGGAGCATCCCAGGCCAGGGTAGACAGGGTAGGGGAAGCTTCAGCCATCACTCCTGTGAAATAGCTGCCCCTCTGGCCCAGGTGACCAAGAAGGGTGTGGAAAGCAAATGGGCATGAGGGAAGTGAAGCACTGGGCATTTGCTCTGGAAAGGCCTGAGGAGGAGAGGGGAGTGTGTCCAAGCCCATCTTCCCCAGCCGGGGGCAACGGTGGCTATAAACTGGAGCTTCTGTCACTGTGGTGGGGTGAGGAGAAGCCCAGGCCCCAGGACTAGGCAGCCAGAGATGGAACAGTGGGGAGGCAAAATGACCCCACCTTTGCTCACCAGCTGTAGCTGATGGAGCCAGCTCCCCCAGTACGGAGCCTCCAGACCCACAGCTCCACCCGGGGTTCAGGGGCACTGGGGCCGGGAACCAGATGGGGGGTGACACTGACCCTTCTGCCCTGATCCTTCTCAGCCCCTCATGACACTTTCCCAGCACACACCCTTCTCTTTTGTTTTCTTCTTGTCCCCTACTGTCCCCCACCAGCCTTGGGAAAATTATCAGCCCTGGCCAAGAGCCCTTCAGCTATTTGTATGTGTCTGTGTGTGTTGGGGGTGGGGAGGGCCAGCTGGCAGCTTTCCTGTCTCCAGGCTCCTTAGCTCCTGGGCCAAGAAGGGCTGAACTCCTCACCTGTCTCCTCCCCTGTGAGCGGCTTGTGCCTATTCAGGGACTCAGCTGGCCCAAGCTGCCTCCAAGACACACCCCCTCCCCCTACACTCCAGTAGCCCCAGCCCTCTGGAATCTTCTCTCCCCTGCTAGTTACCCCTCCTAGTTACATACACACACACACACACACACACACACACACACACACACACACGTGTCTCTGGGTAAACAACCTTCCTCCCGCAGGCTCCATGCTGAGGAATGCAGCAGCTGGGAGGCTGCTTGCACCAGCCCAGGGCCTTTGGGATCCTGGCTAGCACTCCACAGGGGAAGGCAGGACTCTGGTCAGCTTTCTTGGAATCCGGAAAGCCACTTCCTCTCTGAGCCTTGGGTTTCCCATCTGGAAAGTGGGGACCATCATTTCTCCAGCCCTTCCTGACAGAGCTGTCCAGGATCAAAGGGAAGGGGGCTAAAACCCTTGGCCAGGGTTTCAGGGTCAGACCCCCAGGAATGGAAGATTTTGCTCTCTTGAAATCCATCTCTTCCTAGAATCTATTCTTGCCTTGCTTCGTTGTAGAAGGCGCTGGCGAGGCCTGGGTGTGGCAGGGCAGAAATGAAAGCTGTCCTGGCAACACATGAGGTTTGTCAACATTTCCATCCCAGCAGCTCCCAGGCCTGAACCCTTCTCTTGCCCAATGTGGCCTGTCAAGATGAGCATTCCTAGATGGAAGCTAGGCTGGGCCGGCCAGGCCTCTGTCCCTCCCCGTACACGGTGGCAGAGCCAACACGAGCTCAGTGAGAGTGAGTTGACTAACTTCCCCTGCCACCACCACAGCCTAACGCTTAACACTCTGTGGCAAAGAAGGAGGCCAGGAGGGTGAGGGAAGAGAGACCCGTGTCTGAGGAAGGGCGGGTCTGAGTGTGAGTTCGAGCTCACTTCAGGGCCCAGTACTGCTGGCACGTTGGTGGTAACTGCATTATCCGGGCTGACTCGGCTCTCCATTCTGCACAGACAGGTCAGGGACTCACACACCTCAGAGGGAACTGTCCACACACGTGATTAGGCTAAGAGGAGCAAGATGCACAGATGCATGATGGGCACCAGGAAAGCCAGGCCACCAGCTCTGCTAGGGACCCATTTGCTGCCCTCTCTGCCTCTTGGGCTTATTTTCCACCAAGAGAAAACTTCCCTTGAGTGCTTACTTTTAAGTTCTCTTCCAGGAGGTAAGTAGGTAAAGGTGATCACTAACCTCCCGCCCAAACCCTGGCTGGGAGGTGCAGGGAGTGGGCGGGCTGTCAAGGACAAGGAGACACAAGGCACCCAGACCTGTCTAGCCTGACCCTCTAAACTGCAAGGAAGACAGGGAGATTACAGGGAGCCTGGGCACAAACCCTGAAGGAAGCCCTGGACTTGAGCCTTCTCCAAAAATCCCAGCCCTCTCTTCTCCAGAAAGCTCCCAGCTCCTCACAGCGATCTGGCATCTTAAGTCAAGCTGCAGCTGAACCTGCTGGCTCCTGACTGAGCCCTCCCCCCTCCCCCTCCCCCCTCTACAAAACCTTCAGAGCAGTCTGATTGCTCCCAGACACTTGGTCCCCAATCCAGAGCCTGCTGTCCTCCCAGGCTTGGGGCAAGGAGAACCTGGGACCCTAGTCCCAAACCTCTCAGGGATGAAATGTGCTTGATTCTCAGAGCAACCCTAGTGAAATCAATCCTAGCCACTCCCATTTGATCTCATTAAAACCATTTAATTTCTTTGTGAAAAATAAGATGATATCAAAGAATAAATTGTGGTGGGCTGGCCCCGTGGCATACTGGTTAAATTCAGTGTGCTCTGCTCCAGCAGCCCAGGTTTGGTTCCTGGGCACAGACCTACACCACTCATCAGCAGCCATGCTGTGGCAGTGACCCACGTACAAAACAGAGGAAGACTGGCACAGATGTTAACTCAGGGTGAATCTTCCTTAGTAAAAAAAAAAAGGGGGGAGGGGGGCAGCCCCATGGCCGAGTGGTTAAGTTCGTGCGCTCTGCTACGGTGGCCCAGGGTTTCACCAGTTTGGATCCTGGGTGTGGACATGGCATCGCTTGACAAGCCATGCTGTGGCAAGTATCCCATGTATAAAGTAGAGGAAGATGGGCAGGGATGTTAGTTCAGGGCCAGTCTTCCTCAGCAAAAAGAGGAGGATTGACGGCAGATGTTAGCTCAGGGCTAATCTTCCTTAAAAAAAAAGAAAAGAGGGGCTGGCCTGATGGCTGAGTAGTTAAGTTTGTGCGCTCCACTTTGATGGACCAGGGTTTCACTGGTTCGAATCCTGGGCGCAGACATGGTAACGCTCATCAAGGCATGCTGAGGTAGTGTCCCACGTACCACAACTAGAAGGACCCACAACTAAAATATATACAACTACGTACTGGGGGGCTTTGGGGAGAAAAAGAAAAAATAAAATATTTTTTTAAAAAAGAATAAATTGTGGAAACGACAAGGTGGAAGTCTGACCCTATTTTAGCTGTTCTCAGGGGGCACAAGGGTGCTGAGAGTGGTTTTCATCTGCCTCCTGCCTCCTTGAGACCCAGCTGGCCTGAGTGTGTATGAAACAGGACCTTCTCCCTGGGTCAACCTGGCTGGGGGGTACCCCTAGGTGCCCGGCTCTCCATTGTGGCGGCTGCCCTCTCGGTTCCACATCTCGTTCTCCTGCCGAAGCCGCTGGTTCTCCGTGCGGAGCCTCTCTACCTCAGCAGCCAGCTCCTCCACCTGGCGACAGGGCTGCCGGCTGATGCACCCTTGCAGCTGCTGCAGTCTCCTTGTCTCCTCCTCGGCCTGTGACAGCCGCCTCTCCAGATCCAGGTAGTCTTGCACCAGCTCCTGCTTGCTGAGGCCCTGGAGGCGCTCGGTGTGGTAGCGCTCGTAAGCCTCCGAGAAATCCCTCTGCTGGAACTCACCATGAACTTGGCCCCCGTCGCTGTCCCCTGCCTCACTGTCCCCGCTGGAGCCTGGGTGGGAGGCCCCATGGGGCACATCCAAGTTGGGCTCCACAGGGTCTCGGTCATTCATCAGGAACTGGGTGGTATTGTAGGGGGCCACGGGCTGGCCTTTGGCGAACATCTCCTCACGGACTCGGGAGGCTCTCTGGCCCTGCCTCTCATCCTGCTGTCGCTTCTCAGCCCAGCTCAGCTCCAGATAGGGCCGCCAGTGCCGCCTGCGCTTTGACGGCCGCCGTCGGTGCCTCTTCCGGCCCAGCACAGCCTCTCCCGAGCAGCTCCCTGGGCTCCGGGTCCAGGGACCCCTAGTTTTCCAGCCCAGGCCACCGCCAGTCCCAGGAGGATCTTCCTCCTCCAAGCGGCTTTCCATCTGGGGTGTCAGGGGCAGGGAACCACCAGGGTCATGAGGCTCAGGGCGGGTTGTGGGGCTCCCAGGGGTGCCAGAAGTCTAAAGAGAGAGGACAATGGAGGACGGATCACAGACAGTCTGTCCCTGGTGGTGGAATCCTTCCCCATCCACCCAGCCTGAAGCTGACCTTCCCACACCCAGCTACCTTGGTCCCTCTCTAGCCCCATCTGTATGTTTATGGGCTTACCTGCTACTGTTTGCCCCCAACCCTCCCCACGCAAATTCAGGCTGAAAACAGGAATTTGGCCTGTGTATTTCACTCCGTAATTTCAATGCCTAGAACGGTAGTTAGCACAGAGTAGGCACTCACTAAATACCGTTTGAATGAACGAAGCAGGAGGAGGAAATGGGATGGAAAGTGCCTGCTGATGCATTTCGGGGATCAGAAGCCCAAGGAGCACTGCTCTTCCCTCTTCCTACAGCGCGTACCTTTCAGACAGAGCTGGCTTCTTGGGCAAGTGGCCTGTGCAGTCACACAGAGCCCCTGTTCATAAAGGCCCCATGCTCTGCTTAATGCTCTGCTGTTACTGTCTTGTACTTCTTAATAATTTCTGAATAAAGAGCCCTTTGCACTGAGCCCCACAAATTATGTAGCAAATCCTGCTTCCAGCTATGTCTATGGCTGACTCTTTTTCATCCTTTAGGGCTTAGTTCCAATGTCCCTTCTTCAAAGAGGCCCTCCCTGACCACCCAACCTAAAGTAGTCCCCTCATCTCCCCTTCCCAGTGCCTCCCTATCGCCTGACACAGTTAATGTCCCATGTAGCATTTAGCACGTTACCATTTACCATCTGTCTTCCTCCTGTAAGAATGTGTCTTGTCAGACTCATTACAGGAGACAAACTGGTGGTTACCAGAGATGGGAGGCGTTGTTGGGGGTGGGCAAAATAGGTGAAGGAGATTAAGAGGTACAAACTTCTAGTTATAAAATAGGGCCCGGCCCGGGGCGCAGGAGTTAAGTGTGCACGTGCCGGTTTGGATCCCGGGTACGGACATGGCACCGCTTGGCACACCACGCTGTGGTAGGCATCCCACATATAAAGTAGAGGAAGATGGGCACGGATGTTAGCTCAGGGCCAGTCTTTCTTGGCGAAAAGAGGAGGATTGGCAGCAGTTAGCTCAGGGCTCATCTTCCTCAAAAAAAAATAAATAAATAAATAAAATAAAATAAAATAAAATAAATAAGTCACAGGGATGTAATGGATAGCATAGGGAATATAGTCCATAATATTGCAATAACTTTGTATGGTGACAGATGCTAACTAGACTTATTGTGGTGATCATTTTGTAATGTATATAAATATCGAATCACTACGATGTACATCTGAAACTAATAGGATATTGTACATCAATTATAATTCAATTTAAAAAAAAAAGAATGTGCCTCATCTCTGCAGTTCACCACTGTGTCCCTACACATGGCCAAGGTAAGTGCTCAATGAATACATGTTAAATGACATAAACCCCTAAGAGAGGGGGATCCAAAAGATATTAGAACACGAGACTCTCCTTTCAGTCATTCTAGGGTGAAGAAGATGAGAGAATTCTAGAATATATCTAAGAGGTGGGAAGGATTCTGTCAAGACAGTGTGTGTTCAGGGCATCCGTTTATCTGTCGTGGTGAGGGTGGGCGTGTGGGGGACGGAGAATGAATTGCCTGAAGTTTGTGGTTTGGGGAATTCTAATAATAACCACTACCACTGGCATGTTGTTTTATAATGTACAACGCATGGTTCAGAGGCATCCAAGCATGGGTCCACATGCACACATGGTGTGTACCAGGTGACATGGCAGCCCTGGAAGAGTGGAGGGGTATTCTGTGCATTCTGGAGTCTCGGAAGTTCTCTTCGTAATTTGGGATGGGGAATGTTGGAGAGTGCGGGTGTGTGTGGTGTTTGTTGTGTTGTATTGTTACTTCACCCGCAGGGAGACCATCAATCAAGTGACAGGCCTTGGCTCCACCAGTGTCTTTGGCCAAGTGAGACAGAGCTTCTGTCCCTGAGAAAAAGGCAAGGCTGCTGGGACTCTGAGGCAGGGTGGCTTGTGTGTGCGTGCACAATCATTCACCTGCTCCCAGCTCTCAGCAAACGTCCCCTAGTGATCTTTTCCTCCACCCAAGCCAGCCCTGCCCCTCAGCTCCACATGCTGCCTCCCTCCTGAAGGCCTGTCCCCCTACCACAGTTACGACTTTGCAGATAAGCTGTATGATCTGGCGAGTTATTTGCCTTCTCTGAACCTTCTAGCCCTGACATGCCATGAACTCCAAATTAAATAAATCCAGAAAACACTGGAAGTGGCTAAGTAGGTGGGTCAGCGAGCTGAGTTCCTTCCTCACCTATAGGAGCTGTGGGCTAGGGGAGAAGAATGGGCTAGGTGGGAGCAATGAGAGAACACATGGGCCCAGAGGGTTTGGGCTCCTCTTTCCTGATGAGCAGGTGACGTTCTCTGAAGGTCTGATATAATCTGTCTCTCCCCTCTCTCCTGGGTGACATACTACCACCCACCCCCATCCTAAATTATGAACCAATTGTTCAAACTCTTCTGCCTGCTTCCAACTTGATTCTCAGCCTGGACAAAACACAAGGCAGGGTTCTGTAGTCAGAGGACCTAAGTTTAAACCCTCGGTCTTTTGCTTGCTGGCTGCATGGTTCTAGGTATTTCAGCTCTCAGAACTCTAGCCTCTTCGAAATGGAAAAGTCATTCCTACCTTGAAACCATTTCATGAGATACCACAGATTTAGCATCTGACATGTTGCCCAGAGCACAGTAGAGACTCACTTAAAAGCACTGGTTTTTCCAAATCTGCCAACACATCTGAGACAAGAAGCCAGGATCCCAGTTGGCAGGTCCATGTCCAGGGCACCTGGGTGGTTGGGAGGGTGGGGCTTACCTTGGCCGCCTCCAGGGCTGCTGGTGACTCTGTATTACAGTTAGTCTGCTTCGGAGTAGCCACCTTCTTCTGAAAGTTCCAAATCTTTCAGCAGATGCCTTTAACTAGTGACACCTGCTTTAAATAACAGAAAGTGAAGTCCTGAAGTAGAATTTTCAGGAAGACTCTGGCTGCCCCGGTATTTTTTACCAAGGCAGTGGCAGCCATTTTGTAGCAAGACCTTCATTTTCATATGAAGCCTCTGATGGCCGCCTCCACACCCTGGTTTTCACACCTCAAGCCAGCAAGGGGCCAAATGGGAATTAAGGGGCTATCTTCCCAGATTTGTTCCTCAGGCCCCAGGCCAGAGCTTACATCCTATACTGTTCTTCTGGAAGTCACTGAGGCCAGGCTGGCAGCTAGGAAAGTAGGCCTAAGCTTTGTTCCCCCCAACAACCAGGAGACTGCCTGCCCGGAGAGGCGAATATACAGCGATGACCGGGAAAGGCTGGGAGTGGAGTGGGTCAGTGGTTCCAATGAGAAAATACTAGCAGGCTCAGAAGGCGTCCTTTCCCCACTGCCCCCGGAGGCCCCAACCTGGACTGCAGTCTCCCCTCTCCCCTTCCTCCTCCCCCCTCCCCCTTCCCCCCTCCTCCTTCCCCCCTCTCCAAGGCTGGGCTCAAATCAATGCCTCAACAAACACGGCTGGGGCCTGGGCCGAGCCTGGGGCTGAGGTCTTTCCATCCGCAGTGCCTGGCCTGCCTCCCTCCTTCCTCTCAGGACGGGAAACAGAAAAGGGGAAGGAGAAGTCTTTGCACTACAAGCAGCTGGGAAGGAAACCCAACTGGGATAAAGGATGGATTCCTTGGAAACGGGGAAATGGTCCGGGAAGGAAATTTTGCAAAGGCGGAACTGACCTATTTGCTGTCAGGGGCTATGCACACGACTACATCTATGTGTCTTTCTGTACGACCGCCTGTCTGTGCAATTCCCAGCGCCTCAGCCCTAACTCTCGCTGCAGTTACAGCAGCTCTCTGGTCAAGCTGCTCAGGCACTAGGGTTGGGGGGAGGGGACAACCTGGCAGCGCGATGCCTGCTGGGGATTGTAGTTCTTCTAGCTTGGGCAGGCGGATCAACATCCTGTCACGTCAACAGCCACACCGAGAACTCCAAGACCCATCCATCCTTGCGCGAGCGGCGTCCCGCGCTCACCGATACCTCCTTTGATTGGCCAACTCGTCTGCCAATATTCCCCCTTTCGTCAACGATTAGCTGTGCGGAAGGACAACCAGATCCGCCTTTCCAAGCTCAATTAAAGAGTTCATTGATGGCGTTAATCTTTACAGGGCAGAAAATAGATCCGGCTGAGAGGGGAGGGGCCGTGGGCGCGGAGGGATCCTCGGCCCTAGAGGAAGGCGACGAGAAGATCGGTGGCCGCCGCCGCCATTTTGGGCTGGGAGGAGGCAGCGGAGGGACTCGCTGCGCAGTGAGAGCACCCCATGGGGGGTGGTCCGGGCGCGGGGAGAGGCCGGGCCGAGTGGGCTGCCTGAAGTGGCGGCGCCGGGAGACGGCGGGGAGTGGGACCGGGGGCCGGGGGGGTGAAGGTTGGCGTCTCCCCGGCCGGGCCCGGTCCTCAAACCGTCCCGGCAGCCCCACAGCCTCGCCTCTCACGGAGGGCGGGGTTCTTGGGTAATTACCGCGTGTTTCCCGAGACCCCGGTTAGGGAGAGACCGGGTGAAACGACTCCCCTCTGCCGTCCTCCCCCTGGGGCGCAGATCCTGAGGCCGAGCTCTGCCAAGTTCCTCCCCACCCCCATTCGGCCTGGGCATGGCGTTGAGGCCCGGCATGGCGGCACCCCCACCTCGACGGGCGAGGTGGGGGCGACGTCAGGTCCCAAGGGCTGGCGCCGCGGGGGAGGGCGGAGGTCGCAGCACTGGCCGCGGTCCCGAGGGCGGAGAGCCCGGTGCCCCCGCCATCTCCCCCGTACCCCCAGGCCGTCCCGCGGCTCGGGCTGCGGCAAGCACAGCCTCCTTCCTCCTGTAGCAATCACGAACCCCCCTGGGACCCGCCCGAGAGGGGCACGTGGAGACCGTGACGAGCCCAGTACTTGGAAATCTCTGAGCGCTCTTGCCCTCAAGATTTCTCTTCTCCAGCCCCCGTTCTCCGAACGACCTGACCTCGCACGTCGCCAGCCACTTTGGGGAACTCCGAAAGTGTGCTGTTCCACTTCTCTTGAAAGTTTACACCAGAGGGGGATGGGTTTTTGCCCTTTACAGGGTTGGGACACAAAATAACTTAGAGTCACCATGGCTCTGGGAATAAAAGTGGAGCGGCGCATTTTGGGTGCTTCAGGAACATCTGTTTGCATTTTGAAATCTGAGCCATAACTTTTTACCAAAACTTTCGGAGAAATGGCTGTCCTCCGAGAGGAGAAAAAGAACTAATTCCAATGTAATCTTTATGAGACGACCAATTCTTTCCGGTTTAAAGAACTTTTCTGCCACAAACTAAACAAAATGGGGGAGTATTTTGCCATTGGTGCATTGTTAGGGAATCTATTTTGAAACTCCAAGTAATAGAAAATCACTTCTGTAGGTCCTAGGTGCTGCCAAAATAGAAATTACAGTTTTGAGCTACTTCATATATGTGGCGTTTGCGGGGTGGGGGAGACCTGCTTTGAAAAAAATAAACACTCAACCTTATGTTACAGCTGTAGCAGCTTCTTAAAGATTGAAGATTGATGTGAAATTCTTTTCTTGAATTGCCGATTAAACCAGCTGGTTTCCTACTACTTGAAATCTAAATTCAGAGAGATTTATTGCTTAGGGATGTCTTAATTTTTTTCCAAAAAGTCAGTTAAAATTATGCCTAGGTAGGGGCGGGCCCTGTGGCCTAGTGGTTAAGTCCAGGCTTGCTCAGCTTTGGGAGCCAGTTCCCTCGTTCCTGCACCTACACCACTTCTCAGCCATGCTGTGGTGGCAACACACATATAAAACAAAGACTGGCACAGATGTTAGCTCAGGGCTAATCCTCAAGGAAAAAAAAATTATGCCTAGGTAGACTCAAATAGGAGAGTGGGCAGTGAACTTTACATTTGCGGGTGCGCTGTGATGAATCTCATTGCCAGTTACAGATAGTCAGCTCATCCTAAGCCTTTGGCCTTAATAGTAAGAACCTTGAAAGGTTCTTCAGAATTGAAGTCCTGCCCCTCCTATTAAAGTAATTTTGTAAGTTGTAAGAGTGACAGTTCATAGCTTTAACTGTTTTCTCCCTCTGACCCCATCTGTTCTCAGAGAAAGTCTTAGAACTGGATTGCAAAAATATCAAGGTCACCTCCAATTCTTAATCCAAAATTTGAGCCCTTTACTCCTAAGTGAAGCGTTAGTATACTTGATTCATACCGTACGTTGACTTTTGACCTATGTCATGTTCATTTTACACTGTTCACCAGATCAAGAGATAATGCAAGTTAGGAAATGCTGACACTAACTTGGTAGGAGTTAAGTTAACTAGTCATAGGAGCTGAAAAAGGCTTTAAAGATTATTTTTGTGGTTCTGTGAAGAATTTAATGAAGGAGGATCCCAGACTGATTCATCCTCCATTGTGAAGTAATCTAGTTAAACCTTTGGATGCTCCTAAGTGGAGAATTCTGTACCAGGTGCAGAAATTTGTTACTCATTTATAAAGAAGAAAGCTTATCATCCTTAAGGTTGACCCATAAGTTTTTCCATTCCTTGATAAGAAAAGTTGGAAATAAAATTAATGGTCCCTTGGTTATCTACTGACTGAAACAGAGGACTGGAAGTTAGGAACTCCAAGTTCAATTTCTGTGTGTGCTATCACTGACTTGGTTGGCTTGACTAGAGCCCAAATCCTGAAGATGAGGCCAAACTGGTCGTTTTGCTGCTGAGTCTATCCACCTAATGTTCAACAGCCCTTCAACTTCCTCCTTAGCTCTTCCCTTTCAGATGAGTTGCTTTGTGGTTTATGACAAATTCTACAAACCCTATATGCCTCAGTTTCCTAATTTAAAAATGGTATCAATGCTGCCTCCCTCATAAATAGCTTGAGGAGTCACTACTCCTTAGTAGCTATGTAAACATTTACTTGCTATAACTTCGTTATTTGGGAACTTCAGAACTTTTGCTTCAAAGGCTATTTGGGAGGCCTGCCTTACCAAAGTGTGGCCTTGGTTGCCCATGGCAGCACAAAGGGTGGCCATCCAAATAGGGTTAACAAGGGTCAGTCTCTTGGGGGTACCAAGCAGTTGTCATTGTGAAGTCCTCGATGTTTTACATTTCCCTGATGGCCATCCCCTGGGGACTAGTGGCTGTGTGTGAGCAGGATTCATTGACGGGTAGGAGTGATTCTTTGCAGCAGTCCTCTTCAAGATGAAGGTGCTTGCTTCTGAACTATTTGATTTCCACACTTAATCAGTTTTTTACTCTCTTGTGTTTAGCTCTCACCATCCTCCTCTGTCCTTTCTCTCTTTTTTTTTTTTGAGGAAGATTAGCCCTGAGCTAACATCTGCTGCCAATCCTCCTCTTTTTGCTGAGGAAGACTGGCCCTGAGCTAACATCCGTGCCCATTTTCCTCTACTTTCTATGTGGGATGCCTGCCACAGCATGGCGTGCCAAGCGGTGTCATGTCCACACCCGGGATCTGAACTGATGAACCCCCAGCCGCTAAAGCTCAACGTGTGAACCCTAACCACTGTGCCACCAGGCCAGCCCTGTCCTTTCTAAGTTCAAATGTTTTGCTGTTTTATTAAGTACACTTTTAGTAATAACTAAGGAGGAAAGTAGAACTAACCTCTTAGACATTCCCTTCCATCCTCCATCTTCTGTGTTTGCCTGAAAGTTGTACTGGAGTTATTCAGGTATACAGAATTATGTGTTTAAAGTAGGCTTTGGAACTTCAGATTAATCTCCTCTGACCCTCTGGAGGCTGGGACAAGTTCTGCTGAGTAGCTTACAAGAGCAGTGATGCTATCATTTTCTCAAATTCTTGTGCTTGGAGCACTCTGAAACTCTCACATTTTCCTTCAGGAATATCCTTTTTGCTCACTGCAGACCCAGGGCTTATTAACGCTTCACACAAAGTCAGTGGATGTGTCAAATAGAATATGAGTTCAGATGAGAGTTTACAATTCCCTTCTGAATTTTTGCTCTTTGAAAAAAATTTTAACTAAATGTAACTGCTCTTGGTGTTGTATTGAGAAAAAGATCACATTGGCTATCAAAACACTTTCCAACAGTTTTGTGTAGCAGCTCAACCATTGGAAAGAATTTTGTTGGTGTGCAAAGGTTTATTAGTAAATTACTACGATAATTCCTGCTCTTGTCCATGTTGTTACATCATTTGTCATAATTGAACCGCCTCTGAGTAAACCCAAGAAAGAGTTTATTCAGGAGGATTTGTGAGAGCTAAATTATTGATCTGTATAAACGCAGCCTCTGTTTTTCCAACAAGAAGTGGAATGAGGTTCTAACCTTTCCAATATTCAAAGACAACTGGCAAAATTGGCCAAACGTTGAATCTTTGCCTCCTAGACTGTATATTTTGTCCCACTTGCAAAGTATGACTATTACCCTTTGGTCAGCAGATCCCACTGTTCAGGGCCTGAATTTGAATTACTTTTCATTTCTAGCATCCAACATTTCTACTTTATGGGCGAAAGAATAGTAAAGTGGAATTTTACTCCAATGATTTTGTCAAATGTGAAAAATAATTAATGTCAAAAAAAACCCAAACCCACAAACTTAAATGTACTTAGGTATAAGTGCTATCTTAACTCTAGCCAACTTTTCCATCACACTGTGTGAATATTTGTTGCCAGCTGTTCTGGTAAGTGGCCAGGGGGATACCTGTGGTGCCTTACCTAATATGTGACTAAATATAGCCAGCTCTTGATTTTCTGAAGGTGAACTATTCAGATGTGGATTTTGTTTTTTATCTCTGTGGATTTCCTCTTTGGTTTCTCTAACTTTTGAATTCATTAGGGTAAAGTATATTTATTTACATTTCCCCAAGCAAAGGATTTTTATTTTATTCTGGATGAAGTGAAAATTAAAATATTGATCAAGTGGGCAACTGCTCTGGTCTTAAAAAGAACCAATAATAATCATACCAATGGTACCTTACTATTGTATAGCACATTTTCATGCTATCTTGGTTAATCCTTATAGCAGTTATGTAAAGTAGCCACGGCCCCATTTTGCTGACGATGAATGAGGCTCGGAGCATAAGAGATGTGTCCAGGGTTGCATTGCTAGTATATGTTAAAGGTATGACTAGGACTCTAGTTTTTGACTCCTAATCTGGTCTAATTTTTATGATGTTTCCTCTCTTTAGAGATGCCTAGTCTGTTTTTCAGAACTAAACCAGTCTGGAACTCCCTGGCTTTCTGTCCTACAAACTGAAATCTAAAGGGTCTTGTCTCCTGAGGGCCGCTTTATGTTACAGGCTAGCCCAAGAAAAGTTTTCCTTACTCAAAGGAGGATTAAGCTGTCCAGCCAGCTCTCAACGTTTGGGAAGTGCTTTGCCCTGGCTGGATTAACCAGGTCCCAGTATGAGAAAGGGAACAAACTGAAATTGCCAGTGTGTAAGCATGGTCTTTTGAGCAGCTCAATTAAAATGTTTGGCAGAGAGGACTTTAGTTAAGGCTAGAGCGGCCTTGAGGATCATTTGTCATCACACACTCCTGTTAATATAGTAATTAAAAGTCTTTTCTCTCTGCTTTGAGAGCAATATGCTAGTCAGGTGTTTCAATGTAGAAAGTGTTGACGTAAAACTGAAATTTCCCACAAACTTCACCATTCTAAGAACATAAATGCAATGTAGTAAGACGCCAGTGCCTTTGAAAGCAAAATTCAGACAGAAAGTTGCATATCTCAGGGTAAATCAAAGTAATTTATGAGAGTTACTAAAAACTAAGTATTTGTATTTTTTAAAGACTGGACCGAATTTTTCTCCTAAAACACACTTTTTTTCTGATGATAAATGCACTTACAGAGTCTTTCTAAGACTAATAGTAGGGGAAACAAGATCGTTATACTTAAATCCGTCTTATTAAGAAGAGGTTCTAGAATCAGAGGTTAACACTGCTGCATCCTACAGGACAGTCAGAATGAGGCTTCTGCTCTGCACTGTGAAGCCAGAGGGCAGTGTTGCTGCCTTTCCACTGGGCAGCCGAGTTTCTGGGACTGCTGCATGACGTCATAGCAGAAGGAAAATTAAAAACACGAAGAAAACTATTTCAAAATAGACATTTAATATAATTTTTAGGCCAAAGGAAAAACTGGTTATACATTGTCTCCAGTGGACCATCTGCCAGAATAGAGCCAGCTCAGTCCAGCTTTGAAGGCCCTGAGTCAGTCTTGACCAGCATAATTTCCTTTGATTCATTGATTTGTATATGCTTCTTATGCATCGTAAGATGCATGTCTCTCCTGAAGTTCCCACCACCTCCACTATTTCGTTTAGCTGCAAAAGCAAGCTTCCCAGTGGAAGGGTTTTTTTTCTTTCCTTGCAGGGGTGCTTAACCTTCAAGGAGTCTGACAACCTCATGATTCTCTTGAACCCTCTCCCCAGAAAAATGTACATGTAACACAATTCTATGTGTAATTTCGTGGGGTTCATGGACCCCAAGGCCCCCTATCATTTCTAAGGCCCTCAGTTAAAGACCAGAACCCCTGTACTAGCGATGCCATTGCCCTAGGGAAACACTGACACAGGGCAGGTAAAGATGGGCTGGGTTAATGATGGTGACAGGAGGGAAGAATCTAATTTCTTACTACTTTAATTTTGAGGCAGAAATTAATTCCTAGGGGCCTCCCTGCATTTTCAAGAGCAGAACTTCTCAAGAACCTAAGCAGCTATCAGTGCAGGAGATTGAAAATAGCGGCTGTACAGGGTTCCCACTCAGCCCCTAAGGAGTTAAATTAGCTCCGTAACCAGAAGCTTTACATTTGGTTTGCAGTGAGGGGCATTTCTAATTTTAGTTTGACCCTCATGGAAAGGTGGACAGCTCCTATTCCTTTTTTTGGTATAGGGAGCCCCTAAGTATTGGACAATTAGGGTAAGTCCTTGGAATGCCCCAAACAGCCATTTCCTCTATAAATCCAATATTCCCTACCTCTCAACATCATAAAGAGCTGCCCAGGTTTATCCAGCCATTGCTTGCACTAAGCAAGAAGTTTACCAAGAGCCTCTTCCAGGCATCAAGGAACTCATTCCAGCCTTATTGGGGGAGGAGGGGGTGGTCACTAAAATGAAGCTGTCAATTGTCTAACCTAACAAACTTCCAAGTTAGGTTTACATTTTTGTTAATAAGCTTTGAAAGGCTATTGAAAAGCAGAATTAAATTTTAAGCTTCTGATTGTAGCCACTTTCTACTCCCCAAACACCCAAAGCTGGTTTATTTCTCCAGCATCAAGAAAGAAAACCAAGGCACTAGAAAGCAAGCACACTTAAGTACTGCAGATAATGAAACTTTATATTTTGCCTGAACTGTATATTTTTGCACACTGAAACCCATTCAAGGGAAAACTCGGGCAAATTGAAAATTTTCCCATTAAAAATTCTTTTTGCAAACTGACAATAATTCCCTTACCCCCCCAAGTGCAATCTCATAAAATTAAATCAGTACTATTTTGAATTAGCTCTAGAAATCACACAAACTATGTTACATTTACAAATATTAAATTTATTATAACTAGAATGAATTTAATGGTTCTCAAATTTGGCCACCTTATTGATCCGTTTAAGGAGGGGGTTTTTAACAGAAAAATGCATTATAACTTGGTCAAATTACTTACACATTAAAAAAAAGACCTTCTAAAAAGGAAAACAAAAGCAACCCTTGAGTTTCACATAATTGAAGAACAGGAGAAAGCACAGCAAGCTACATCATAGCTAAATTTACCAAACCAACCAAAGCCGGAGGGATTTTCTCTGCTGATTATGTGTCATAAAAAGGTCCATTGTCTTATATACACATGTATATAATGTTACATTCCATCACTGTAAAAAGTCCCCTTTACCCCCTCCCCCCAAAAAGTTTCAGTCTAGTCTCCAAACTTGGACAGCGGCGCTCGCTCCTGCTGCCGGTGCAGTTCGTTCTCCGTCAGCAGCTGGAGGTTCTCGGCGCGCAGCCGGTCCAGCTCCAGCTCCAGCTCCCGCACTCGCGCGTCGTCGCCGCCTAGCCGCTTGCTTTCCAGCCGCAGCCGGTTATTCTCGTCCTCCATGCGTGAGAGGCACTTCTCCAGCTCCAGGTACTCCTTGATGAGCTCCTGCTTGCTCATGTTCTGCAGGCTCTCCGCGTGGTATCGCTCGTATGTCTCCGAGAAGTCCCGCTGCAGAAACTCGCTGCCGTCTCCTCCCATCCCGTCGCTGCCCCCATCCTCTTCCCCCGCTTCTTCCATAAAGTCCTCATCGCTGGTGTCGTCGGATTTGGCGGCGGCTCGCTTGGGGTACAGACCGGTTTTGAGATCCGGCTCCTCCTGGTCGTGATCATCCATAAGGAACTGCGTGGTGTTATAGGGCGCGACCGGCTGGCCCTTGGCGAACATCTCGGCTCGAATCCTCGAAGCTCGCAGGCTCTGTTTCTCGTCGAACTTTTTCTTCTCCTCCCAAGTCAACTTGTAGTACGGTTTCCAATGCCGCTTCTTCTTGGAGGGACGTCTCCTATGTTTTTTCTTGCCCAGCTGTCTCTGCTGCTGTCCCCACGCCTCCTCGCCCCCTGCGGCAGGAGCCCCCAACTTGTTAGCCTCAGAGTCAGGACAGGGCTGGGCGAGCGGCTCGGCCCCGGGTCTCGGTTCCCCTCCTGCCACCGGCGGGGGGGCGCCGCCAGCGGACAAGTCGTCTCCATTATGACTCTTCTCGCCCGCTTCCAGGCAGCCAGATTCTGGACACATCTGGGTCTGCAGGGGAGGCGGCTGGGGCTCCAGGCTCCCTTCCCCCTCTAGCCCCGGACGGCCATCCGACTTGGGGGACGCTCTCGATTGCCACCTACTGTCCTCCTTGGGCACCCGCTCCTCCGCGCCTGGGGGGCGATCGGGGTTCCGCTCTTCATGGACAGCAGCAGCACCTGTACAGTTGCTAGTTTGAGGCTGGTGCTGATATTCCGACAAAAGTGGTTCGGCCATGGCTAAGAGAGTCCTCTTCTAGAAGTTTGAAAAATTTTGGCTGTAGGTCCTTAAAAAAAGAGGTTTTTCTTTTGTTTTAAAAAATGTCCAACCGAGTCTTCTTCGGTCTGTAATTCCTGCAGTGACGCCTTCAGCCAGTCCTTCTGTCAGCAAACTCCAATTGCAACTTGGGGAGCTCAAGTCAGTAAAGGGTTAAGCGCCCACAGCGCAGCCAGCTAGCGGGTCCAAAGGGGTGCAGCAGCAGGAACAGTACGTAATGTGGAGAGGGGGTGGGCCTCAAGCGTCCCCGCAGAGCGCCCCCACGATCGAGGAGTTGGTGGGCAAGGAGATAAGGTTGCGTCCAACGGGTTAAACCCAGCCCCGAAGGAGTTAAAACTACCCGATGACGCTGCCTCCGAGGGGCCGGATCCACAAAGGGTTAAATCCCCTGCCGCAGAGCCCACAAGGGGTTAAAGTCCCAAAGCCACCTCCTCCCACTTCCACGGGTGTCGCTCCAACCCGAGCTCCCAGTTCCCTAGGCCCGGCCGGAGCCTTAGCCGAGGACAGACAAACTCATCTCCCCTTTGGCTCGATGCTCTGTTCAGCTCAGTTCTCCTCCGCCTCCTCCTCTTTTCCTCCCTCCCTCCTCCCCCTTCCGACAGCGCCTCTTCCGCCTCCTCCCCCGACTTCCCCTCCCAACCTGCCTCTCCACCTGCCAACTTCCAACTGCTGCCTCCTAGCCCTCTGCGCCCCTTTTATATAGAAGCTTGTCCGCCCCGCCCACGCGCATGCGTAACAGAGTCCCCATCGCAGGAAGCTGGGAGTCGTAGTTCTCATCGCTCAGGCCCGCCGTCCTTGCGCGCCGTGCGACGTAGCCAATCCCAAAACGCGTAGGGGGCGTCTTCCAGGCCGCCTCCTTCCATCGCTTATCCCTCGCTGGAGAAACGTGAGCGACCATTGGTTAAGAGGCACGCGTCTCCCCGCGGAAGGAAGACCAATCGCAGAGAAGATGGGGCGGATTCTGGACCATACCATTCTGCTTCAGGAATACGAGAAGATTCCATGGCCTATGAGGGCCCACAGAGAATATTTTTATGAAAAGGTGCGTTTTAAAGGCTATTATCGTATTGTGTCCTCAGCGGAAGGGTTCTGAAGGTCATAAACATTTGTTAACTAAAGCAAAAATGGTTTATTCCTAAAAAGTAGTCCCTAAAGTGTAAAAGAGGATTAAATCCTATAAAGAGAGATATTGGCCCACGGCTAATAACTCTCGATTCGTAATATTACAGGAATGTCTTCAAGGTATGTGGTTAGTGCCTGGAACTGACATTTGCAGAAGGAAATTGTGAACACATTTTTTAAAAAACGAAAAGCGCATGAAGAAGTAAACAAATGAAGAATAAAAAGTGCCGCCTTAAAGGGACAGTGTGACCGCGTTAGCACAGTAGCCTCGGACTAGGCCTCGGAAGATGAGAAGGCAGGTTCGAGTCCCGGGTGACGTCCACTCTCAGACTGGCTTCAGGACCCTTGGGCGAAAAGTGACCGAATCCCAGCCCCAGCCTAGACTTTCAGGGCCACCGCCGCCCCAGGGACCAGTGCAAAATGGTGGGCCGTGAGACTCTCCCCTGGGCTGGGATCCGGGAAACGCGGGATGTGCGCCCGCGGGGAGGCCTCTGCCTCCTGGGCCTCAGCTTCTGCCGAAGAAAATGGCCTCCTGGGGCCGAATTGGTCTCTTTACTTCCGAGGTGACCGGGAATATTTTCTGAGCCCAGACAGGAGTCGGGGCAGGCTGACGAGCCTCTTTGTTGGGGAGGGGTTCGAAATTAATAACAGGTTTAAAAAATCAACCCTGGCTAGGCGAGAGAGAAGGGGGTATCATCCACAGAGGCTCTTTCTCATCAGAGGGCGCTGAGCAACATGGAGAAGGAGGCATAGCCACAAGGAGGAGGCCTTGCCCAGAAATGGGGGCAGGGGATTCTGGCCCAGGAGAGTGTGTGTTTGTGTGTGTGTGTGTGTGTGTGTGCGTGCGTGCGCGTGCGCGCGCGCGCGCAGGGGGGAAGGAGCACATACTATCCTTGAGAAAATTCTCCAGATTACAAACTCTTGCCCAGAGGACAGGGCCCAGGAGTAGCCTAAACCCTCTACTCTAATCACTTAGGCCTAAAATCTCGGAGTAATCCCAGTTTCTTTCTCTTGCCACACCCCCAGTGACCCGTTTGGGTTAATTCTTCCTTCACAGTAATGTGTTACATTCCAAGCACTCTCCACTGTATAATGTTCTTTTACACACAGAACCATTTGACCCCCCCGCTACAGCCCAGTGAGTTAGGGTAGGAATTATTGTCTCCATTTTAAAGATAAGAAATCTCTAAGACTCGGAGAAGTTAAGTGACTTGTCCAAAGTCATGGGACAACTAAGTGACAATTCCAGCAGGAGCAAAGGTCTTTGTGACCCCTGTGCCATTTTACTTTTTCTCCTAAACACAAAATTCCCTTTTTTCTCAAGAACTCTGGATTTAGTTCCTGTTCATTCCTAACAGCACCAGCCTAACTCAGGCCCTTATTTCTTCGTTTAGCAAACACTTCTTAGGAGAGCACAATGATAAATAAAACGTCATCCTTGCTGCTCATGGACTGTGTGGAGAGCATCAAACCACAGCGAGCCAAAATGGCAAGTGCAGAAAATCCCGGTAGGAGCTGGTGAGCCAAGCTGCTTAGGAGTTCATTGTGGACAGGATTCATGGGGGAGGTGACTTTTTCGCTGTCTCTGAAGGATGAAGAGTTTTCGGGCAAACGTGGCATGAAGAAGGGCATTCTGTGAAAAGCAAGCATCGCGTCCAAAGAAAGGACTTGTCTGGGAACTCAGGAGTGGTTCAGTGGGGAGGTAGTGACTGGCATGCCCAAAGGGAGAGGCAAGCAAGAGTGCCTCTGGGGCAGTCCAGGTGTTTTGAAATTGACCATCCCAGCCTGTTTTCCCTCGGCTTCCAAGAACTCAGGTCTATCTGAAAAGCTTGCCCTCCTCCATCAGTCATGCAGGAGGCTCTCTGGGAGCAAGAGTTGCCCCTCACACTGGGAGCTCCCTGGGGAAAGGGGTTTTTGCGGTGAATTTCACTAGGAGTCAGAGACCTCCAAATTGTTACATTTTCAGACTCAAGAGGACTCCTGGGTACCCTCAATCAGGAGATTTGGAAGGTCCAGCTGAGCCCAGCCTCAGTTTGCTGGACAGGGCTCAGCTGTATGGGCTCATTTGTCATATTGGGGCAGGGGTGGGATTCTAGGTGGTGTCATAGGTTGTGGAATTCTGGAATTCTATCAAACGAGGCCCAGCACCTTGATATTGGCTGAGTTTTAACCCTTTGGCAGGAACTTTACAGTCCTGGTCATTTAAACTCCAGGACTCCCTTATGGTGAAGAGATCATCCTTATTTCACAAACAAGGCAACCCAGGCTCAGAGCAGTTAAGAATCTTGCCAAGTCACACAGCTAGTGTGTGCAAGTGGCGGAGCTGGCTTCTGTCCCACGACTGCATCCCCAACACCAATTTGGTCCCTCCCACTGCCCTGCTGTTGTCCACCCTTAACACGGGAGTTTATATTGAGCCTCTCTGCGTATAACCCTGGGCTAGATGGCAGAGCAAGAGGGCCTGTATGTTTGTTCTGAGGGATGCCCTCCTCGCCTTGAGAAAAGGACTGACAGAGTGACGCTGGCTTCCAGTGGGACGAATGATGGCCAAGCCTGAGGCAGTGGTCAAGGCCAGGGGCTGACAGAGGGAACTCATGAGTTTAAGGGTCTCCAAGGAGGGGCCTTCAGAACTGCCTCTTCCTCACCCAGGGGCAGGAAGGGCCTGGGGCCCAGGTGGTGACAGCTGCAGAGGCCTCAAGGCTGCTGCAGCCCTCCGCGGGTGGGGACCCTGGCAAGGGCCTCTGCCACGCCAACGCTGGGAGGCGCTGAGTGGCGGGTTCCCCACCGAATACTGGCCAGGGCTAGAGCCTGGGCGGCCCAGGGGGCGATGACCGGACTGGCATTGACCAGAGAGAGGCCAAGGCCGCCAGGCAGTGAGGGAAGTAAGTTCGGAGCCCGAGCAGCCTGCAGCAGGCGGCGGCACCGGGGGTCTGTGCCCACGCGGGTGCTCTGCCGCCCCGGACCGGGGCTCTCCCGTAGGGCCTCGCCCCCACTCCTCAGGGTGGGGCGCGGCGAGGCTCCCGCCGCGTCTTGGCCATCCAGAAAGTTCCCTGGGAAAGCCGGAGCGCGGAGGTCACGGGGAGGGGCCCCAGGAGCGAGCAGCAGAGGAGGGGGAAGCGGGCCATGGGCACTCCTGAGGCCGCGGTCTCGGGACCCCGACCCTAGGCCCAGCGCGCGGGGCAGGGAGCAGCGGCCCTCTCTCCGGGGACGAGGGAGCCCAGGCCCCGGCTCCGCCCAGCTCCCCTCCTCCCCGCCACCCCCCGCTCGCCGGACCCCCGACGGGTTTGGGGGCGGGGCCGTGCCCTTGGCCCCTCCCCCGGGCGCCGCGCCCCGCCCCTCCGGCGGACCCCGGCTGTCCCTCCGGGCCTGCGTTTCCTCCAACCCCTGTGTCCCTTCGCTGCCCCGGGAGGACGGAAAGTCTTCCTCCCGTAGGAACGCCGCCCGTTGGCCTCTCGGGGCCGTCCGCAGGGACCCTGGGGGAGGGGCAGGGAAGGGACTTGGACCTCGCGCGCCCCGGAACCCGCTTCCCGCCTCACTCCGTGGGGATCCAGTTGGTAGAAGATTAAGATTTTATTTTATTTCGTGAAACATTCATTTGTAAGGGAATCTTCGGTGAAGGCATCCTGAGTGTGTAGGGGAGGGCGGCTGGAGAGGGAGGCCGGCAAAACGGACCTCACTCCCCTCCCCCGGGGCCTGCTCTCCCCGCCTTCCCCCAACTCGGCCGGGCCTCCTGGCCTCCCTCCCGCAGCCTCCCAGCCAATCATTCTTCCAGGCCCGGGCCCAAGTCCCAACTTGCCCAAGAGCTGAGCCTCCATGGGGAGAGGCTGGGGTGGGAGAAGAGTCAGGTGACCCAAAGGGTGGGGAGGGCAGAGGCTGAGACCCAGCAGCCCCGCCCCCGAGTCACCAGCCAACTCAGACTCGGGGCCGTGCACCACCAATGCAACCTCCCAAGGAAGCCTGGGGTGCTTGAGGGGAAGGGAGGAAGCGTCCAAGAGAAGCTGCAGGGAAGGGTGGGGTCTTTTCCGGCCCCTGCATTAGGGGAGGGGTGCCAAGGTAAACACCGATTGGCGAGGAGGGCGCGCGTCAATGCTGTTCTTCTCCTAAACCCTAGGAAGGCTCAGGGTACAGCAGGACAGGGGCTCATAGCCTCCTCAACTGGCTGCAGAGACTCCGCCATTGAGTCACCTCTTCTGGGTCCGAAAGTGTCGGAAGAGCCACTGGACAATGAAGGGCCACAGGAGGAAGAAGAGCAGCATGGGACCCGAGAGCCTGAGGGGCCAAGGCCGGGCACTGGGCTGGGGCCTCTGCTGCCAAGAGGGAGCGAGTCAGGGGCAGCCCAGGCCAGCACAGACTGGGCCCTCCTTAGTAACCTGCTTCCGGAACTCGGGGGGTGGGGGGGAGCTTCCGCCTCCCGCAGATTGTGAGGACTGGGCCAGAGAAGACCCTCCTCCCAAATCTGCACCACTAGAAGGGAAGGGATCCTGGGGCTCCTTGTGTCCCTGAGGATTGAGCTCCAACTGCCTCCCACATCCTCCTCCCAGGGCAATCCCAGGTGCCAAGAAGGCTGGAGGGGCTGTCTAGTGGACAGACTGGCTTATAGGCTGTCTCCTCTGGGCCACAAAGCAATGACCCTGTTGGTATGGTTGGAAGACCCCATATTGTAAATGATGGGCCACATATTTCAAATGAGGACCTTCGGTGCTCAGATTTTAGTTTCTAAATATCATTTTCTGTTAAAAGGAGCCAGGGCACCTTGGAGAAGTGATTGATTCCAGGTGTGGAGAAGGGAAGGTAGAGGTGAATGTGGGACATCTTGTACCAGAAAGCAAGGAAGCTTTTAAAGATTAATGAGGTCATGTTATGAGAACATAGGACCCAGCTTGAAAGGGTGTCCACTGACCCAAGTTGTGACAATCTGAGCATCAAAAAGAATGATGGTTGCAGTTGATTGAAATACTGAATCTTTACAATCCATGAGTCCATAATGATACTCAAAAAAAGAGAAAGTTGGAAATTTGTCACTATCGAGGTGATTGTTAAGTCAACTCCTTGCTTTAAAAATAGATAAAGAAAAAGAATTAAGCATTTGTTCTGTCTTTCCATAAGGCACTGTATTTCAGGGAGATCCTACATGATCAGGGAAACTGGACAGAAAAATGACAGCTAATAAATGTTAAAGGAATAATAGAATTTAAAGTTACCTTTTTTTTTTTTTTGCAACCACCAAATAAATTATTGATCCAGGCATGGATTATCTATCAACTGTTAGAAAAAACCATGTGGCAAATGGGGTTGACGGAGAACTGGACATTCCCTGGCTGCGAGAGGAAAACGTGACTTTCCAATGGGGGCATCAGACTGTTACTCATTCATCCATGCGAGTGGTCCACATTAGAATCATTAATGGTGGGACCTCCAGATATGTGTCCCCTAATGTGAAGAACATCACCTCTGATGTAATCTGGTCATGTAAACTAGCCATGAGGGTGTAATCAGAGAAACCCAAAAAGTGGAACATTTTACACGACCACTGGCCAGTCTCACCAGCAAGTCAGTAGCGAGGAAAAGGGACTAGTCTAGACTAAAAGACTCTTAAAGGACAGAGGGACCAGATGCAGCAGGTGCTCCTGGACTGGGCAGACAGCGGCTGGAAAAGGCAATTTCAGGACAACTGGGGAGAATCGATTTTGGATTGGATATTTGATGATATGAAGGAATTATTGTGTGATAAAATGTTGTGGTTTGGGCTAGGTAGTAGAATGTTCTTATTTTTAGTGATGCAAACCCAAGTGTTTCAGGGTAGAAATCTAAAATTTTCAGCATATAAAATTAGTAAAAGGTAAACAAAATAAATAAAGCCCTGGGGGGTGGGTGTTGAAAGGCTAGCCACCATGGAGCTGAGGAAATTCCTGCCACCCTGGCTGACACCCGCTGTGCAGGGGAGATCGGGGATCCCCACATCCAGCACTCAGCCCTCTCCTGCCCCCACCACCCCAAGCTTCTCAAGAGCAGACCCACCCAGAGTTAATGGTGGCCAGCTTTCGAGGGAGAAAGACCTGGGGCCACTCTCAGCTCTATTACTTACTGTTAATAATAATAAAAACAACAATGAACCCCATTCGAGAAGGCTTTCCTGTGTGTTGGCACTGGGCAAGCACCTACATGAACTGTCCCATCTAATTCTCACTGCAGCTCTGTGAGACTCTTCCAGGCTGTGTGCCCCTAGGTAAATTACTCAACCTCTCAGAGCCTTAGTTTCCTCATCTGTAAAAGGGAAATGAAAAGAACTATTTCATTGGGTTCTTGTGTAGGTTAAATGAGATAATCCAAGTAACGTTTGGCACACAGCTGGGGCTCCAGAAGCGGCAGCTGTTATGTATTTTGCAGAAACAGAGGTGTAAGCGGGGAGCAGATCTAGGAGTCAAGGAGGGGGGATGCAAGCGCTGAATTGTTTAGGGGCAAGCCCTAAATCTGAGAACAGAAGTCCTGACGGACAGGGCAACAGGGACCCCCCAGCCTCAGTGCAAAGAGCACACACATCCTGGCCCTTCCAAACTGCTGGAATTAGTCCTCAAGCTCAGTCTCTCTTGAGGCAGAGGGAGTTTACAGCAGGAAAGGAGGGCCCTTCCCTCTCTCCTTTCCAGGATGGAAGCGCCTCAGACCCTTGACCTCTCTGCTTGCAACCTGAGCGACACCATCCTTGAGAAGGCAGAGATGTGGGCAGGTAGAGAGTTAGGGACAAAGACAGAAGTGGCTGGATGAGGAGCCCAGAATAGAGACCCTCAGAGTTCTGCCCCCATCTTGCCCCGGGCCTCAGCGGGGCTTACCTGCTTGCGGGGACCAGACACGCTCTCCAGGCTCTGCAGTCTCCCTTGGACATCCCGCATGCTCTCCTGCAGGGCCCGAACTGTCCCCACCAGCCATGCGTCCAATTCCTGGGGCCCCAGCAGGTTGCCATCCAACCCGTCTGCAGACAACAGATACACAGGGAAGGGGACTCAGGAGGCGATTCAGCTAGGGACAGGGTGGTGGCAGGCTGGGGCAGGTCCAGGGAAGAGTAAGAGGACAGCATAGTCCCAATACCAAGTGTGACTCTTGTAAACTCCACCCATGGGGCTGAGTCACAGGGCTGCCAGGGGTTTGAATCCCAGCACTGCCACTTAGCTGTGTGACTCTGGGCAAGTCAGTCACTTCTCTGAACTCTCATTTTGTCATCTGAAAACTAGGGGAAGATGTCATCTCCCTCACAGGGCTGCTTGCTCAGAGGAATAAAGGAGAGAATATTTATGAAAGTGCCCCTTATGGGACATGGCACAGTGGAAGTTCTAGAAAGGGATAGGAGAGAACTCGTTGTTCTTTGAGAGTCCCAAATGGGAGGCCTGGAGAAAGGATGACTCCCAAGGCCATGCGCCTGTAGGTGAGAGAGTTGGGCTAGGGTTCCCACCCCAGCTGCCCCTCCTCAGTGCTAGCCAAGGGTACAGACTCCTGGTGGCCCTCAGGGAGAGGAGGCCAGGAAGGGACTTTGCTCATCCAGGCTGGTGTCTGGCAACCCTTCCTGGGCACAGGCTGCTCTCTCCAGTGCCCAGTGGTGGACTTTCACCTCTGCCCCAAGTGGGCAGCCAGCGGAAGGCTTGGGGCACCAGAAAGACAGGGAAGGCAGAAGGGGGTGAGGGTCTGGCAGGGGCTCACCTTTCTCTGGGGGGGGCACAGGGCTGTTTCTGCTGTCAGGCTCTCCTCCAAGGGCACCCCTCTGCTCTTCCCAAACCTGCTGAGACAAGCCACAAGGTCCAAGGGGGGCTGTTGGAGCAGCCAGGGCTCAGGGAGGCAGGAAGGGTGGAATGGGGGGGGGGGGGTCTCACCAGCTCAGGCTCCAGCTGTTCCAGGGAATCAGAGAAAACCTCGGAATCCAGGTCCCTGGGTGGCTGCGACTCTGGGGAGGAGGTAGGTAGGGTTAGTGACAAGAGGGAGGCTATGGAAGGAAGGGAGGGGTGTGCAACTAGGCAGAGGCACCTATTCAGGGGACACTAGAGATATTTCCACAGGAAGCAGATGGGTCCCAGAAGTTAGGCCCTAGAAGCCTAGGAGTCCCAGAAGCTTCCCTGTGGCCTTTGGGAGCAGAGGAGGTCTCAGTGTCTGTGGGCATGAGGTGTGATGGGCAAAGCATGGCATCCAGCCTTCTTCCCGCTACCCCGCCTGGAGGAACCCCCAACCCTGGCTGCCTGGGTTTGGCCCTCTGCCCGTCCTGCTCAGACACTGACCTGGGCCTGGGGGTGCTGGTTCCTTGGGGAGGCAGGGAGGCGCTAGGGCAGCCCCAGCGTCTCCATTCAGTACCTGGTCTTTCCAGCCTGCGGAGACATGGCACGCAGACGTGGGGTGGGAAGAAACTGGCAACCCCTAGTGAGATCAGGCCCCTGTTCCCCATTAGCTAGGACTCTGCCTGAGACCTACCCCTCAGGGGCCATGGTTGGGGGACTTACAGAGACATCACCTGGAGCCCTCTGCCCCCAGGCCCCCTCCCACTGATCAGCCCCCTCAGCTTGGACCTAAAACAGTTTAGCAATTGCAGAGGAGCTCCCAACCTGGGGGCCTGACCTGTGACCCTTCTCAGGAAGGTTTCCGGGGGCCTCGGCATGTCAGGGATCACCTCGTACAGGGGCTCGAAGTAACCAAACATGTCCTCTGCCACCTCACCCAGAGGCACTGTGTCGATCACCTGTAGGGGAGGGGGTCTATTGAGGAGCAGCTGGCCCCTCCCACCTCTGCCCTCCTATCCTCCCTGAGCTGGGCCCCCTCCACCCTGTTCCTGCCTTCATACCCCTCCACCTTGTACCCAGTCAGGGTTGGGGGGACAGCATGACGGTGGTAATTCCCACGGAGATGTCAGCTTGCAGGAAACATAATGGGGGTCAGCACAGGAAGAGTGGGGGCAGGCCACCTGGCTGGGAGTTTGGGGACAGAGAGGAGCCCACAGCCTCTCCCTACCTTCTGTGCCACCAGCTTCATCTCAGTGATGTAGGCGGACATGGCCTCCTCTCTGCTCATCTTGCCCAGGCTGTTCCAGGCGTCCCTGGGGGACAGAGGGCTGTGAGAATCTGGTTGACAGCTGAGGCATGTTTGCCCGGCCGGTGGGAGCTCACCACTTGTATCGTCCAATGGGGTCCCAGAACCCAGGCCGGGGGACCAGGCAAGGCCCCATGGTAGCCTGCTTGTAGTAGCTGTAGAATCGTAGCATCTCTTCGTAGGAGGGGCGGTAAGAGCCTGGGCAAAGGATTAAGAAGTGGAGGGCAGAGCATCAACCCCAGCTCCAAGAGGATGGAGGTGGGGGGAGAACCACCCTTGCAGAAGGCAGAGTTGTTGAGGGGTCCACCCGAGGCAGCTGGACAGGGGCAGGAGGCAGAGGGGACTCCCAGGGAAGCCCAGGCAGGGACTTGTCTGCAAAAACTTCAGAGATCAGCACCTCCTGGGAAGCAGACCTCAGTGTCTTGACCCCCAAAACGCGAGTCCCTGTGCCCTCACCATTCTTAGGCAGGTTCTGAATGACGCTGACTGCGGCTTGGAACTGTTTCTGGCAGTCCGGTTCTGGGCTTTCATTCTCGGTACCCATACTCAGCTGCACAGAGCCCTGGGGTCCTACTTTTGAGCGATTCTGCAAGAACAAGTCTTTGTGTGAGCAGGCCTCCAGCTCACACCTCCGTAAGCCACTGATCCATTTTCTAGAGGGGCAAACTAAGCTCTTTAGAGGCCCAATGAGATACCTCGGGAAGTCAGGTCAGAAACTGCGGCTGAGGAGACTCCTTCCTACCCCAGTGTGGCTGAGCCAGGGTGGATGAAGAGGACCTCGGCGGGTGGGTGGAGTGGCAGGTGGCAAGGGTCGCAGTCCCACTTAGATGCACCTCTCCAACTCCTAGACAGGCGAACGGGCAAGCCGAGAAGTCAGGGAGGGGCGAACAGTCTCCCAGCCTGGCACCCCGCACCCTGGCCCGGCCGCCCGGCCCCCTGGCACTCACCCCTCGGAGTCCTCTGCTGGGACACCTGAGTCCTCTTTCGCCACTAGCCGGAGGCTTCCGACTGACCTCCGGGCCCAATCTGGCCGGGATGGGGACGCGGGGCGAGGGGGAAAATTTAAGCCAATGAGAGAGCCCGTTTCAGATTCAGTTTATATGTCCCAACCACTCAGAGCGGCCCTTTCAAGATTATGCAAATAGTTTAGCTGTGCGTTTCCCAGTTGGGAGGGGCGATTCCGTGGGTCGACCCCCCAACCCCGGACCGCCAGGACCGGGCGGAGGCGCCCCCTGGTGGACGTAGTCAAAAGACGCGTAGTCCTCGCGCCCCCTGGTGGAAACCCGCGTCTATCAGCTGAACCCGGGTCCCACTGATCCGAGCGCCTCAAGGCAGTTCTTCAGACACTTACCAGGCTCTGGGATTAAAAAAAAAAGAAAAAGGGAGTCATAACTGGGGTTAAGAGCTCTGGAGGAAGTGCATTGGAGCTGAGTTTTGGGACACTTAAGTGTAAGCTAGGAGAAGAATGAGGAAGGTAATTACTGTAGGAAGGAATCGCAGAATCAAAAGTTCAGAGGCGAAGACTTGACCCTCAGCAAGAATGTCCAGAGAGGGGTGGGGACCCAAACCAGTATGCGAAATCTCTGGGTCGGGATATCTGAGAATGGGATAGAGCCTGGGGCAAGTAGGTGGCAAACCTAGGTCCTGAAAAACTAAGCTTTGAGATGCCACGCTCTTGGCTGCCGCCGAGTGGCGGTGTGCGCCCAGCTCTCCGCCCCCGACCCAGGCACTTGCTGTGAACAACGCAGACGGGGTGCGGGGGTGGGGGGCACACGCAAACGTTGGTCTCCCGTTCATCCCACCCTTCACGCACAAATACGCAGGTGGTTTCATATATAGTACATGAACACATGACACGCTCATCAGAACCCGCACTCGACGCTCACCCACTGGTTGATGTCATGGACATCTACGAAGCGTGCAGCGGCCTTCCTGGGACGACTGGGCGCCTGCTGGGGTGCCAACCCGTCCAAGCCTCGAACCCTAGAATCGGGGTTCTGCTGGGGACTCTATACTTAGCACCACCCCATCTTCTCCAGACCAGTCAGCTTCAAGACTTCTACCACTGAGGGGACGGCAACTGGCCGGGCGCGGAGAGGGTTAATCATATGACGTCACAGCCAGAGCCTTCCTACCTTCCTATCCCCCTACCCGCTCCCCTACCTCTGCAGTTCGGGCTGCCCTGCTGCCCCGCTCAGCTCCCGGGGTTCGATCGGTTTTCCAGGCCCGAAGACCCTTGGCCTAGGACGAGCCGCCCCGCAGACCCAGTCCCCTGTCTGGCTCCCTTCCGAGGCCTTCCAGAGGCACGGGGAAGGGGAGGGTGGAGAGGGGTCCTGCGTCCGCACTGAGTCAGGGTCCAGGAAAAGAAGAGGGTGACTGTGCCAGAGGGCAGCCCTCGTCCCCTCCGGTGCTCCCATCCTTCCGCCTCATGGGGGCTGCGGACATCGATGGGCTGGGATCCGAGGATCGCTCGGAGAAGGGGGAGGCGGACTCCTGAGAAGAGGACGAATGCCGAGACTCGGGGTCGGGGGTCGGCCGGCCCCCTCCCCACGCCTCAGGGAGGGCACAGGTCCGGGCCTGGGGTCACCGGCCTCCTCCCCTCCACCGCTCTCGCACTCACGGCGCTGTCCTCGGCCCCGCCCCCTCCCTCCCCGCCCCTCCTTCCCTGAACCTTGTCCCTCCCTCTCTCCCTCCTCCCGACACCTCCTCTTCCCGACTCCCTCCCGGCGCCGCTAAGTTTCTTCGCTCGGGATCGCGCGCAGAGCTGGGGCCGGGCCCGAGCGGCGCCCCCGCTGCCCTGTCCCCGCGCGCAGACCCCGGGCCCGGCCCCGGCCCCACCGAGCCATGCTGTGCGGCCGCTGGAGGAGCAGCCGCCGCCGGCCCGAGGAGCCCCCGGTGCCGGCCCAGGTCGCAGCGCCGGTCGCGCTCCCGTCCCCGCCAGCGCCCCCGGACGGCGGCACCAAGAGACCCGGACTGCGGGCGCTGAAGAAGATGGGTCAGTGATGGGCAGGGGCCGTTCCGGGGGCGTGGGGAGGTGCGGACAGTCTCCAGAGGCGCAGCCTGGTAGGGCGGGGTGTCCCCGCGAGCTGTTCGTGGGCTTCCCAGGCTGGATGGGGGTGTGGGGAGTATGGCGACAGATGGAATGCCAGCACCGGTCCAGCTGAGGGTCGCATCTGGGGTCACCAGAGATTCCCGGCCGAGCGAGGTGCCCAGGATGGCCGTTGTTTCCCACCGGGGGGAGGCGCCCGCGGGGCGTGCTAGAGCGGGAGTTTGGGCGAGGGGTGTGAATTAGGGTCCCTAAGGACCCGGAGAGCGGAGGGGAAGAGACAGGCTGGGGGTGCCCCTCACCCGCCTCCCCAACACCATGTGCCTTCTAGGGTCTGTAGATGCCTCAGAACAGCCTGGGTGTGAGGGTTGTGGCAGAGGCTGGCCTCTCAGGCCAGGCCTCCAACCCTGAAGCCCCTTTAGGGCCACAAAGCACTGGTAGAACTGGTCTAACTGGTGAGAACACTACCCTTGAAGTCAGAAAGCCAGAGTTTCCATCTCAGATTTGAGGGAGGTCACTGGGGGGAAGGAATGTAGCTGTGGCTCATTAAGCATCTCCCTGAGACATCTCCCAGAGACAGGCCAGCCCTGGGAGGTTCCGCATATGGTGTCATTCAGTCTTCTTCACCTTCCTGAGAGGCAGGTGGGATAATCCCCATTTCACAGATGAGGAAACTGACTCAGAGAAGTCAAGGAATTTGTCTATGAGCACACAGCTAGTAAAGGGCAGAGTGTGGTTGGCATGCAGGCTGTGCTCCATCTCAGACCCTGGCCAAGTGGGACTGACTGGGTGGTTGAGGGGCTTGAATGAATGAGAGGATGTGTCTGTGAGAATGTTTTATGAAATGTAAAGTGCCGTGAGACTGCAGTGCTGTACTGGAGCTGCTGCTGGTAGAAAGTTAAGATGGAGACGTGGGGGTGGGGCTCAGGGACAGACAGGCAGGGCTGCCCGGGAGACCTGTGTGAATCTTGGGGCAGAATTCAGAGGTCTTGATTACCACGCTTCTCTTTGCCTCTGCCCCCACACCCTGTTCTTACTTCTACCTCCTCTCACTCATTTGACCTGAAATTACTGAGCACTATATTCTGAGCACCTAGCCTGGCACTCTCCTCACAGGAATGTAAGACATGATCTCTGTCCTACCCTCCACCAATCATGCATGCATTCAACAAACATTTGAGTACCTATGCTCTGCCCTGGGGATTCAGCAACGAACAAGACGGACACAGTCCTGGCCCTTACAGAGCTGAAGCACCAGCAAGGAGGGCAGACAAGGAAGCAGAGAAACTGGACTGTGAAGGGAGAGAGCAAGGGAGATGACAGGAGCCAGCGAGGACCCCGGCTGCACCCCAGAGCCAGGGGTGGGAGGAGACTGGAGTGAGGCCAAAGGGGAGAGGCAGGTGGGGCCAAACCCTCCAGGCCCCTCCTGGTGAAGTTGTGGACTTTCTCTGGAGGGCAGCAGGGACCCTGCAAAGGCCCCAGGCACAGGAGGCAGGCAGGAGGTGGGCAGAGTAGGGGCAGGTTGGACCAAGGCAGGGGTGCAACAGGGAGAGTGTAGGAGGGAGGCCGAGGAGCCAGTTCAGCAGGCTGTGATGGGAGCAGACTGGGGCAGTATAGCCAAGATGGATTCCAGAACCACCTGGGAGGTAGACTGGGCTGGACTCTGCGGTCGGCGGGATCCAAAAGGCGTCTCTGGTGGGTGGCCGTGTCATTCTCTGGGCAGTGGTGTTTGGGGAGAGGAGGAAGGCTGTGGGAGTTGAGGTGTCCCAGAGAGAGCCAAGGGCTGGTGTTGGACCAGAGAAGCCACCCCGGGAGTCACCCGCCACAGGGGTTACGCATTCCTTGGGAGGGCTGAGGGGATGCGCCGGCGCACCTGTCCGCCTCGTCGTTGCGCACACGTTTGCTGAGCCCCGTATGTGTGCCAGGGTGCCGTGCCAGGGTCTGGGGCTACGGAAATGAATAACACAGCACTTTGCCCTTGGGGAGCACACAGTTTAGTAGCAGGTGACACTTGTAGACAAATAATTACAGCTGAGCCCAGGCTGAGTAAGGCCGCACGGCTGCTCCACGCATCCCATCACAGTGACACTATTGGGAACTATGTGGGTGTCATAATGTCATCTGGGCCACCATCATGCTGAGTGAGTGACTGCCAAGAGAAGAATGCCCCTTCCCCAGGCTGCTCTGCGTCCAGAAACAGGGTGGAGAGGCAACCCAGGTGTCCTGAGGCCCAGCCCCTCAGGCTATCAAGGCCAAGGCCTAGGCCTACCACCCAGGTAGCTGCCCCTCCTGTGTCCTATCACTGCCATGGCCACACCCCTTAGGCTAACAGAGAACAGATTTGATTTCAGTTCAGATCAAGAGACAAGGCAGGGAGTGGCTCAGAGGTCAAAGGCTCAGAGGGGCCCAAGGAAAAGAAAGGGCCTCTAGGGCCATACTGGGGGGAACAGGGGAAACTGCAGCACCCCCGTGTGTGGAGTCATTTGTGGAGCCGGGGGTCCTGCTCCTCTCCTGCCTCTGCCCCCAGGAGGCCAGGGAATGGTTGAGTGAGGGGAGGAGACCGCGGGCACCTGCGGTAGGCCAGGTGGGATCCTGTGTAATCCTGGGCCACCCCTGAGGGTGGTGCTGCACTGTCCTCACATTACAGATGACAGACTCCAGGCCGAGGGTGTGAAGTCCCCAGCTGCAGCGTCTGCTGCCCTGAGAGCCTCATTTTCAGTGATGGCTCTTTATTGCTGGGATTAATGGACACTACGACCCCCTCTATGACACTGTGCAAGCGCTATTCATGTGTTAGCCGTTTAACGCTCACAGTCATATGAGGCGGGTGGCACCATCAGCCTCATTTTGCAAGTGAGGAAACTGAGGTTCCAAGACGTTCAGTAACACTGAGGATTCCAAGCTGGGAAATAGCTGAGAGAGGATTTGCACCCAGGCCGACTGGGCCAGAGTCCAGGCTCATAACACAATGAATGAACCAGGGATTTATGTCTGGGAGGGGCCTGCTACTCCCCTCCCCCATTGGTGGCCCTGCTAGCTTCCAGGGGTGTCCTCACAGAGTTGCCAAAAAAAATACAGGATGCCTAGTTAAATGTGAATTCCAGATAAACAATGAATAATTTGAGACATACTCATATACTAAAATATATTGGTTGTTTATCTGAAATTTGAATTTAACTGGGCATCCTGAATTTTATCAGGCACTCCTGTCTCCCCAGAGCCCCTGTCCTTGCCTGTGCCCCTGGGGCTCCACCCTGCCCCTAAGCCTCCCAGTGAGCAGAGCACTGAGTAGGCAGAATCCCGCTCCCTGGCCTGCATGCGCCACCAAGTGCCACAGGCCTAGAGGGCTCTCGGGGCTCCCCGGATGGCCTGCCCAGGATGTCTCCTGCAGGGTGAGTGGAGCTCGCAGGTGGGGGTCTTCAGAGCAGCCCCCCGCCTGGCAGGTGCCTGGCCTAGGGGGTGAGGAGGCCTGGGTAGCCCTCCTGGTTAAGCAGGGGCATGCCAGGCAGGACTAGGGGGCTGGCTCTGTCATGCTTTGTGGGCCTCCCCTCACCTCTCCTCCTTCAAGGGCTCTGGGGAGCCCCCCTACCACCCCTGCTGCGACCTCTGCCCCCAAACAGGTTTCATGCCCATTCTGGCCTTGCCGAGGAGGGGGCTGTCACCTCATCTCACTGTGTCCAGCCCCGGGCCAGGGGAAACACCGCCTGCTTTCCTGACTTTGTTGATTCTCCAAGGAATGTTATGGACTTTGGCGCTGAGCTCCTCTGGGCTCCAGCCTTGGGTGTGGCAACCAGCTGGGGCAAGGGGGACACGCTCCGTACCTGAGGTGCCGGGGCTGCCTGCTGGCTAGAGGATTCGGGTGGGAAGGTGTTTGAGACCCCTTGCCGTTCGTTGTGTGTCCCCTCCCAGAGCCTCATGGCCCCAGCCACCAGGAAAAGCTGCTCTTTCTCCCCTCCCCCGTTGGCATGAAGCTGTCGCTGCCGCTGTTGCCTGCATGTCTCGCATTCCTGCTGGAGCCCCGCGTGCCCGTCCTGATGTGTGCTGGCTCTCTCTCTCTCTCTCTCTCTCTCTCTCACACACACACACACACACACGCACACACCAGCACACACATCCTATGTGCACACACCACCCTACACACACCCTCACTGGAGACCTACCACTCCTTACACACCCTGCCCTCTGCATATTATCCCTCCATCTACACGCCCTGTGACCACATAGCACCTCTCACCCCTCCCTCACCCCCTCACCGGCCTGCTCTGGCCTCTGCCCACCCCTACGCAGCCCCTGCTGTGGGTCCATCCCTGCCCTGGGCCATCCACACTGCTTTCAGCATACACGGTTTGCCCTCGCTGAGCTTCAGTGGCCCATCTGTGAAAACGGTAGGATTTGGGGTCAGAGATGGATGTGGTCTTCCCCACGGCCCCTTACAGCTTTGCCATTGAGACAGTTTCCTGCCCCCAGCCTTGGCCACTGAGACAGAACTACTCAGGCCCCAGGCCACACAGCCCAAACCGCCCAGGCTGAAGGTGGTAGGTGGGGACCTGTGGGCC